AAAAAAAAAAAAAAAAAAAAAAAAAAAAAAAAAACTTATAAGGGAAAAGAATCTGAAAAAAAAAGATATATATGTATAGCTGAATCACACTGATATACACCTGAAACTAACACAAAACTGTAAATCAACTATACTTCAATAAAACATTTAATTATAATAAAAATAAAATAAAATCATGACAAAAAAATAACTTAGGAATAAACCTAACCAAGGAGGTGAAATACTTATATGCTGACAACAATAAAACACTGATAGAGGATACTGAAGATGATTCAAAGAAACAGAAAGATATGCCATGTTGTTGGATTGGAAGAATTAATATAGTTAAAATGGCCATACTACCGAAAGCAATCTATGTATTTAATGTGATCAATATACCCATGACATTTTTCACAGAAGTAGAACAAATAATCCTAAAATTTATATGGAAAAACAAAAGACCCAGAATTGCCAATGTAATCCTGAGGAAAAAGAACAAAGCTGGAGGCATAACCCTCCCAGAATTCAGGCAATACTACAAAGCTACACTAAGTAAAATAGCATGGTACTGGCACAAAAACAGACATATGGATCAATGGAACAGAACAGAGAGCCCAGAAATAAGCCCACACACCTGCAGTCAATTAATCTCCGACAAAGGAGGCAAGACTATACAGTGGAGAAAAAAGTCTCTTCAGCAAGTGGTGTTGGGAAAGCTGGACAGCCATATATAATTCCATGAAGTTAGAACACTCCCTCACACCATACACAAAAATAAACTGAAAATACAAGATATGACAAGATAAACACAAGATATGGCACCATAAAACTCCTCGAAGAGAACACAGGCAAACACGTTCTCTGACATAAATTGTAGCAATGTTTTCTTAGGTCAGTCTCCCAAGGTAACAGAAATAAAAGCAAAAATAAACAAATGGGACCCAGTCAAGCTTATATGCTTTTGGACAGCAAAGGAAACCATTAACAAAACAAAAAGACAACCTACGGACTAGGAGAAAATATTCACAAACAATGCAACTGACAAGGGCTTAATTTCCAAAATATACCAACAGCTCATACAACTCAATAGTAAAATAACAGAGAACGCAATTAAAAATGGACAGAAGGCCTGAATAGACATCTTTCCAAAGAAGACATACAGATGGCCAACAGGCACATGAAAAGATGCTCAACATTGCTAATAATTAGAGAAATGCAAGTCAAAACTACAGTGAGGTATCACCTCACACCGGTCAGAATGGCCATCATCAAAAAGTCTACAAATAAATGCTGGAGAGGGTGTGGAGAAAAGAGAACCCTCCTATATTGCTGGTGGGAATATAAACTGGTGCAGCCACTATGGACAACAGTATGGAGGTTCCTTAAAAAACTAAAAATAGAGTTGCCATATGATCCCACTCCTGGGCATATATCCAGGAAAGACAAAAATTCGGAAAGATACATGCACCCCAACGTTCACAGTAGCACTATTTTACAACATCCAGATGTGGTCTCTACCATCACCTATGAAAAGAGGGACCCTTGAAAAAAATGTCTGAGGCAGGAAATATACAAGGTAAGCCTGGGTTATCTTATGCTAGAAAGCAAGGAACTATCAAAAAGTCCTGTATGAAGTCAAAGTGTATCAAGTCAACAAGATACAGGACACAAGAGTGGAAGGATTAATTTGAACATCAAAATAATGTCTGGAGTAGACTGAAACATTAAATACACAGGAAATCTACAAGCTCATTGTAGTGAAAAGTCATTTGTTTCCTTTGGAAGTTGCTAGAGCACCAACTCACTCTAAAAACTGATAAAGAATCATGCATTTATCTGGTCTTTAAGAAATGTATTTCAGGAAGATAAATTGTTAAGTTCCTTACAGAAAAATTCCAGCTAATGCAGAAAAAGTGATGGAATTTAGACAATCACCATTAATTGAAATAGAGGTCAGGATAACATACACCAGTGAAATGCTAAAATCATTAGGTGACAGGTTAATAAATGGTGAACTTCAAATGCAGGGATCAGGCTGACCCCACCTGAATCCACTGATAAATCATCACTAAAAGTTGGACAACCAGATATGTGCCTTCTGATGTGAAGAGACAGAGTACACAGCACACTTGAGAAAATTCATTCCTAAAATACTGAACCTGAATCTAGTCAAGCCTCTGGATGTAACTTCCACTTTATAGGGATAGAGGACAAAGTTAAAGGACACATAAAGAAGCAAACAGCCATATGTTGACGTTCTACAGGACAAATGACCTGGCTCCTTCAACAAATGAATGATATGAAGAAAAAAGGGAGGAGTAGGAGATGGCAATCAAAACAAATATGTGGATAATGCTTGGACACTGATTCAAACAAAGGAAAAGGCAGGTTATCAGTGATATGCCAGAAACCAGCAATTTTCATGTTCTAGCTATGATTTGATTAATACTGGTTACTAGTTGAGATATTAGCTAGAGCATTTCAGTTAGTGAGTTGTAATATAAATTTAGGAAATACAAATCCAAGGTATATCATAATTCCCTCTCATGACCTCACCTGATTTCCAGACTTGACATTCCCATCGGGATGACACTTGCATCTCAAACATTGTACAACTGAAATCTGAACTCAGGTACATATCTTCTGTTTCCCCTAAACCCATTTTTTATCCCCCAAATTATTTTGGAGTTGCCTTCTACCATCTATATAGTAGCCCTTACCAGGAACCCAGAAAGTTCTTTAAATATAATCAGTTTCTAAGTGCTGCCCAATTTTCCTTCCTAAACAACACTTTTAAAATTTGTCCTCATCTACTTTGCTAATACCACTACCTTAGATCAGGCCCTAGTCTTCCTGAACAATTAAGACATCCTCCTAGCTGCTTATCTTGCTTGTAGTCTTTTCCTCTCATGGCCATCTACCACATAGCTGTCATTTGTCTGTAGAGCAAACTATCATGTCGTTCCTTTGCTTAAAACTCTCCAACAGCTGGTATTTACGACCTTTGTCGTGTGCTGCTTAGTTCTGATACACTGAAGTGACTGCAATTTCACTGTTTGATGCCTTAGCGCCTTTGCTTCCACTGTTCCCTTTGCAAACAACCTCATCCCTTGCCTCCTGATTTAAATTCAAGTGTCAGCTCCAGGAATACCTTCCAGATTGATGTTAGGTAGATGCATCCATACCACCCTGTGAACATTTTATCACTGGGCTGATGACACTATTGAGTTACCGCATAAGACAACACTTTGCTACCTTTACTTATTTCTGTTACAGATGAAATAAATATGAATATAGAGAATATATACCATTCTAGCAAAACTCATCCTCCGTGGACAGATTTTCAGGGCTTAAAGAGACATATTTTGTTCTAAGGGCCCTTGAAGATGGAAAAAGTAAACAATTAGTGGTTCTGTTTTTGTTCAGCCATCACACAAAGAAGTTGAGCATTAGTTAGATAATCCAGAGCATCAGCTTTACCTTCCAATGTATTGTCTGTCCTAACAATCAACTAAAAGTAAAGTGAGTTGTGCAGGTCAGGGTAGCCATCCTAGGATTAAAAACTGCCATAGATGAGCATTGACATGTATGTCAATGAGTTGAATTAACAAGAAGATAATACTGCTGTATGAAATAATGCTCTTAAAGTACAGGAACACCTACATGTTGCTAAAAGATTAATAAACATGATGGAAAAGACAACTATACAGACCGTATTTCCACAAAAATATTTTTTATTACTCTACTCTTCACACTATGCTTGGGAACAGTAATTTATTAAGTCCAAGAGAAAAGATAATTCACTGACAGAATGAAACTTCCAAAGTTTTTCATTTAAAATTTAAAAGTAATTTAACTATAGACAGCATCAGGTAGAGAAGACCTTTATTCTGAACCCCCATAAAAACTAGGTTTTTGTCTATTAGAGAAGTCTCTTCTTGCCAGAACTGGTTTTCCTGTAAGCTCAGTAGGTTCTGGAGCTGATTATTACCACATTGCTCGCTGCACCCCAGACAGTTGCCCATGGTCGGCTAAGTGACGGAAGACGATACGACTAAGCCTCCAGCGCCGCTTTACACCTCGTGGACGGGATGTCATAACACACCGATTTCTGATTCTAACGGGACAGCTATCCCGGGGAAGGGCAGCAATTTCTTCATCAGCCACTTCCTAAGGGAAGTCACAACATTATTTACACAGATCACATGCATTTATTTATTCTAGATGATTAGTTAATGCTCAGAGGAAGAGAACAAAGGGCTAGATTCATTAATGTAGCCAAGTTTGGCAAAAGAACCCTGGACACCACAGTGAACTTTAAGCTCTGAGTAGAAACAAACAGATCAGAAAAATGACAGAAATGTTTGACATACAAGGTAATTTTTCAAAATTTAATTGAAACAACGTAGATACACAAGAATCCACAAACCGTAAGTGTAAAGCTCAACAAGTTTTCACAAACAGAACATAGCTGTGTAACCAGCAACTAGATTAAGAAAAATTATCCGCACCCCAAGCCTTCCCTCTGCCTCCTTTCAGTCACTGACCTCCTGGCTAAGAGCTAACCTGGTTACTAACACCACAGATGAATTTTTCTTGTTTTGATTTTATATAAATGTAACCATGGAGTATAATAAAAACCATTCTTTTTTTATTCATTTCTGTTTGGCTTCTTTCACTCAATAAAATACTTGTGAGAGTCTTCATACTGGTACATGTGTTGTAATTTGTTCATTCTCATTGGTGCTAATTTTTGTTGTGTGAATATGCCATAATTCATTTATCCATTGTACAGCTGATGGACATCTGGGTAGTTTCTAGTTTTGGGCTATTACAAATAGAGCTGCTATAGACATTCTCATTTCTCTTTTGGAAAATATATGAATGCATTTCTGTTGTCTCCCCAAACGATTTTTTCCCAGCTTTACTGAGATATAACTGACATATAACACTGTATAAGTTTAAGGTGTACAATGTGATATTTTGATGCATGTATATACTGTGAAAAATAATTACCACAATAAGGTTAGTTAACACCTCCATCACCCCACATAATTACTTTTTTGTGCGCGTGAGAACACTTAAGATTTACTCTTTTAGCAACTTTCAAGTATATAATACGGTATTGTTAACTGTAGTCACCATGTTGTACTTATTCAACCCCAGGACTTATGCACCTTAAAACTGGAAGTCTGTACCCTTTGGCCAACATCTCCCCATTTTCCCCAGTCCCCAGCCTCTGGTAACCACCATTCTACTCTGTTTCTATGAATTCGTTATTTTAGATTCCACATATAAGAGAGATCATACAGTATTTGTCTTTTTCTGACTTACTTCACTTAGCATAATGCCCTCAAGGTACATCCATGTTATTGCAAAGGGCAGGATTTCCTTCTATTTTACGGCTAAATAGTATCGTACTCTGTGCCTGTGTATGAATCACATTGAGTGTCACATTCATCTGTTGATGGACATTCAAGGGGTTTCCATGTCTTGGCTATTGTGAATAATGCTGGAGTGAACATAGGGGTGCAGATATCACTTCTATTTCTATCTAGTGATTTCATTTCCTTCAGATTTATACTGAGAAATGGAATTCTTGGATCATACATGGTAGTTCTATTTTTAACTTTTTGAGGAAACTCCATACTGTTTTCCATAGCGGCTGCACCAATTTACATTCCCGCCAACAGTGCACAAGGGTTCTCTTTTCCACATCCTCGCCAAAACTTATCTCTTGTCTTTTGGATAGTAGCCATTCTGACAGGTGTGAGGTGAGAGCTCTTTGTGTTTTCATTTGCATTTCCCTGATAAGTGATGTTGAGCATCTTTTCGTGTACCTGTTGGCCATTTTTATGTCTTTTTTAGAAAAATGTCTACTCAGGTTCTCTGCCCATTTTTTAATCAAAAAAAAATTGGGGGGGCTACTGAGTTGTATGACTTCCTTACATTTTCAGGGTATTAACCCCTTATCAAGTACATGACTTGCAAATATTTTCTCCCATTTTGTAGAGTGCCTTTTCATGTTGTTGTTTCTTTTAGTGTGATGTAGTCTACTTGCTTATTTTTGCTTTTGTTGTTCGCACCTTTGGTGTCACACCTAAAGAATCACTGCAAAGACAAATGGCAAAGAACTTTTTTACCCTTTGTTTTCTTCTAGCAGTTTTACACTTTCAGGTCTGTCCTTTAAGTCTTTAACCCATTTCAAGTTAATTTTTGTGAGTGGGGTAAGATAGGGGTCCAATTTCATTCTTTCACATGTGAATATCCAGTCTCCCCAACACCATTTATGGAGAAACTATCCAATACCCACTGAGTATTTTTGGCTACCTTGTCAAATATTTGTTGACTACGTATCTGTGGCTTTATTTCTGGGTGTCTGTTTTTATGCCAATACCATACAATTTTGAATATTATAGCTTTTAAATCAGGAAATGTGATACCTCCAGCTTTTTTTTTTGTTTTTCTTTCTCGGGATTGCTTTGACTATTCGAGGATCTTTTGTAGTTCCATACAAATTTTAAGATTATTTTTTCTATTTTTGCTTCTTCAATTTCTTTCATCAGTGCATACAGTTTTCAGTGTACAAATCTTTCACCTTCGTAATTTCTAGGTTTAGTTTTGATGCTACTGTAAATGGGATTGTTTTATTTCTTTTTCAGATAGTTTGTCAGTGTATAGAAACACAACTAAATTTTGTAGGTTGGTTTGGTAACCTGCAACTTTACTCAATTTATGGATTAGTTCTAACAGTTTCTTGGTGGAGTCTTTAGGGTTTTCTGTATATAATATCATGTTGTCTGCAAATAGAGAGAGTTTTACTTCTTCCTTCCTGATTAGATGCCTTCTATCTCTGTTTCTTGCCTGATAGCTCTGGCTAGGCTTTCTAGTACTCTGTTGAACAGAAGCGGCAAGAGTAGACATCCTTGTCTTGTTCCTGATCTTACAGGAAAAACTGTTGAATTTGGTTTCCTAGTATTTTGTTGAGAATTCTTACCTCTCTATTCATCGGGGATACTGACCTGTAGCTTTCTTCTTGTAGTGTCCTGATCTGGCTTTGGTACCAGGGCAATGCTGGGCTCATAAAATGACTTTGGGAATGTTTCCCTCTTCTTCAATTTTTTGGAAGAGTTTGAGAAGGATTGGCACTAATTCCCCTTTAAATGTTTGGTTGAATTCACTCATGAAGGCACACAGTCCTGGGCTTTTCTTAGTAGGTTTCTGATTACTGATTCAATCTCCTTACTCATTATTGGTCACTTCAGATTTTCTAGTTCTTCATGATTCAGTCTTGATAGGTTATATGTTTCTAGGAATTTATCCATTTCTTCTAGGCTAGGCAATTTGTTGGCATACAATTGCTCTTATCAGTCTCTTATGATTCTCTGTATTTATTTGGTATCAGTTGTAATGTTTCCTCTTTCACTGCTGATTTTATTGGAGTCTTCTCTCTTCTTTACTAGGTTAGCCTAGCTAAAGGCTCATCAATTTTATCTTTTCAAAAAACCAGCTCTTAGTTTCACAGATCTTTAGTTTTTCCGGTTTCTATTTGCATTAATTTCTGCTCTGCTCTTTGTTTCTGCTAACTTTGGGCTTACCTGTTCTTCTTTTTCTAGTTCCTTGAGGTGTAAGTTAGGTTATTTTCTGTAAGATTTTTGAATCATAAAAGTCTGAAACCTCTGGACTGAACATCAAGTAGGAGGAAAATGTGGTTTGAGGTGAAGTTGAAGAAGAAGGAAGGGCAGGAGCCCTCAGAACCTGGACACCTATGGTAAAGCCTCTGACGGCTGGAGATGCAAAGACGAGTGATCAAGTGAGACTTACATTTTTAAAAGATCATTTGCAACGTAGGGAAATAAATATGGTAAGGGCAAAAATGGTTCAGGGGAGAAAAACAGAGATTACTGCAGTAGTTAGCACTACGGTTTTGTCAGTACAGATTTATTATTATGTATGTGGTTAAAGTATGTGTATTATTGTGTGTGTGTGTGCATGTGTGTGTGTGTGCGTGTGTGTGTGATTGACCCTGTACTAGACTATGATGGAAGCAAAATAATTACTCTAACATATTAGAAGTACATAAATGAGAAAATGTATATGAAAGCCACTAAATTTATATCAACTATTAAGCATTAAGAGTAGTTCCTGATCTCCAAAAGCTTATGCATGTGCTATTAAGAAATACTGAGGGGCTTCCCTGGTGGTGCAGTGGTTGAGAGTCCACCTGCCGATGCAGGGGACACGGGTTCGTGCCCCAGTCTGGGAAGATCCCACATGCCACGGAGTGGCTGGGCCCGTGAGCCATGGCCGCTGGGCCTGCGCGTCCGGAGCCTGTGGTCCGCAATGGGAGAGGCCACAACAGTGAGAGGCCCGTGTACCGCAAAAAAAAAAGAAATACTGAGAGAATTACATAAAACAACATGATTAAGTCAATGAATGGTAGACAGTAAATGCTATAGAGACAGGAGAAATGATTGGGCTGGCAGAATGAAGTAAAGTTTCATGGAGACAGAACTTGAAGAATACCTACAAATTGTTTACACATGTGTGAATGTGAAGATTTAAGGCAGTGTACAAATGAGGAAACTGGGCAAAGGGAAAATGAAACAAAAGAGCATTCTGTGAGTGCCTGTGAGTTTGTTAGCACTGGGGCATAAATTTGACTTGTAAGCTAGTTGGCAGGCAACATAGTGCCATGATCACTTCCCATGATTCATAGAGTCTCTGCACAGCTATTGCTGGTTCTCATACCACAGACTCTTCTGGGGATCTTCATACATTTGTCCTCCACAACATCTTAAGCTGAGCTTCTCAGGAGCCACTTCTTATTACTCGCTAAATATAGGCAAGTAGCTTAATATCACTACAGTAAAAGTCATAACAGAATGGTCCAGGGCACTCAGTTTTCTGCTTATCTGGCTTAATTTAGACAAGATTTAAAAAGAATCCACAGTAATGAGGGGCCTGTATATTATTCTCCAAATTTATATAAATGAAATATTATTTACTCTGAGCTTTTGATAAGTTTAATGGCTTTGAATTTGAGTTATACTCTCTGATAAGACTCTTTTTTTTTTTTTTTTTTGCTCCAGACACGCAGGCTCAGCGGCCATGGCTCACGCACGGGTCCAGCCGCTCCGCAGCATGTGGGATCTTCCCGGACCGGGGCACGAACCCATGTCCCCTGCATCGGCAGGCGGACTCTCAACCAGTGTGCCACCAGGGAAGCCCCTGATAAGACTCTTGAATGCAGGTATTTTATGTCACCAGTTAGGCAGGACTTATGATTCAGGGAGTCAAACAGAGTTGACATTCTCTTATTCAAGTTAAAGAGTGTGACAAGAAAGTAAACCTAAATGGAAGGCCACCTCATGGGCACAGGAATTCAGAGAGGCAGGCTTAGGGATGGCCCTGGATAAGGAACTGTGTAGGCCATGTGCTGGGCACCTGGCCCCATGCATTGGCAAAGACTCCCAATGCCTTGAGAGTTGAATGATTGGGATGATTGGAGAAATAACTATCCAATTTCTGTGTGGTTACCTTGCATCAGTACTTTCTAAGCATCACCTAATGAAATGGTTAAAGATCTAGTTAAGAATGAATAGTTCTTTTTAAATTTGAAACTCATCAAAATCAGTTATAAGGGTATTTGTTTACGTTGACTGGAAAAAAGTCTGATTACATTCTTCAGAAAGTATATTGATACTAAGTCACAACAAATAGTATTAAAAGTGATCTGATTTGAGTTAATGATTTTATGGTAGATACTCATCTTACTTAGCTAACCTGAAGGTCTTTTGGCAGAATGGTATTCTTCCTGAGAGAATTGATCCGAAGCCTCTCATCTGCATACTCATAGGCCATTTTTCTTCTCTTCACATCACGCAACATTTTCCAATCTACATAGTAACTTCGAACTTGGCCTGAAGCTGATGAAGGAACCACCTAAGAGACAGAGACAAGGAACAAGTGAAGGACAGTCAGACCCAGACTCTGGCAGTTTCTTCATCCTGTGATCCTCTTTTACTCACTATTTATGACCTTTTATCCTCCAAGTAATTGTGGATAATTTAATAATTTAAAATAACAGACTTCTTAATTCAGAACAAATAACTTTTATGGACATACATTAAGCCAAAATGGTGGTAATTAATACAATGCCAATAATGTGGGCTGGAAAGTGAAAAATTTTCTGAGATTTTTTATATAATTCTGCTTTACCTCTACTTGGGTTAATAAATATACGGTTCAAAAGTCAAAAAAGTATAGCAAGGGGGAGGAGGCCAAGATGGTGGAGTAGAAAGACATGGCGCTCCCCTGCTCCCACAAATACATCAAAGATACATCTACACGTGGAACAATCCATACATGATACCTACTGAGAGCCTGCGGAAGATCTCAGACAACCAAAGCTGCAAGAAAGATTTCCACAAAACCATGTAGGATGAAGGGAAAAGGGAGAAGAGGAATTGGGATGGGACCTGCACCCTTGGGAGGGAGCTGTGAAACACGAAAGGTTCCCTCACCCTGGGGACCTCCTTCACTGGCTGGGAGGTCTGCTGGGACAGCTAGGGAGCTTCAGAGGCTCAAAAGCAGAGTGCAGGAGCTGGTCTGCTGCCCCACAGGGTAGAGAGACCAGCACAGACGGTCTTTGCCACATTGCCACACTTTCCAGTCTGAGGTGCACCTGCTGGCGTGCATAGTGATTGGGTGTTCAAACTCAGGCTTCAGCAGACAGACCTGGGGAGATGACTCGGTTTGGCTGTGTGAAGACAGCTCAAAGGGCCTGGAGTGTGGCCCGAGCCACAACTGGGGGTGTGCACAGGATGGAGCATGAGGCTGCCGTAGGAGCCCCACTGTCAACATGGGAAGGGAGGGGCATGGGTCCACTATAGCAGCCTCACTATCAGCATGCTCACAGCAGGGCACAGCTCCAACCGCAGTGGGTTTTGCAAACTTTGTGGGCACGCACACATGGAGGTGGCACTGAATACGGAGGTGATCACTGGCACTCCTGCTTTAGGTGTGGGGCTGCAGCTCCAGAGGACTTTCTCGCCCATGGTTTTGTGAGGGTATCTCACCCATACCTATCTCCAAGCCGATTGCAGCCCCCGAGGGCAGTGCCAGCAACAGTGATCTTTGTGGGTGTGCACACCAGGTGGCAGGCAGTGTCACAGAGTTGCACATCACAGCAAACAGCTCCTGGGGAGGAACACACAGGGGCTCCTTTCCCAGAGGGAGTGTTCTAGTCCTGCCTACCTCACATTGAAGCTTAGAATCGGATCTAGGGGCTTCCACTCCAACAAACGGGGAGCAGACTCTACCCCTGACAGGGTTGTACAATCACAGAGAAAAGAGGAGGCCCTGCCCAACATCCAGTGCAGGCTCCAGTCAACACAATATCAAACACACCACCTATATCAAGGAGACAAGGGCCAGTACACCCTGAGGAAAGACACAGCAAGCCAAAAACAGCCCTCGCACCAAAAATACTGGACTCATACAGTCTACACAGGGTCACTCCCAGATAAAAACAGCCCTTCAAAACCACAGTAGACAACTGTTTTCCCTAAATTCAGAGTAAGAGGGACTTCCCTGCTGGCACAGTGGTTAACAATATGCCTGCCAATGCAGGGGATACAGGTTCAAGCCCTGGTCTGGGAAGATCCCACATGCCACGGAGCAACTAAGCCCGTGTGCCACAACTACTGAGACTGCGCTCTAGAGCCCGTGAGCCACAACTACTGAGCCTGTGTGCCACAACTACTGAAGCCTGTGCACCTAGAGCCCGTGCTCCGCAACAAGAGAAGCCACTGCAATGAGGAGCCCATGCATCGCAATGAAGAGTAGCCCCGCTTGCTGCAACTAAGAAAGCCCACATGCAACGAAGACCCAATGCAGCCAAAAATAGAATATAAATAAATAAATTTAATACTTAAAAAAATAAATTCAGAATAAGAGAAATATAAGTAAAATGAAAAAGCAGAAGAATTACTCCCAATTAAAAGAACAGATGAAATCCCCTGAAAGAACAAGCAATGAAACAGACCTCTCCAGTCTATATGACCCCAAGTCCACAAAGGAAGTAATAAAAATGCTGAAGGGAGAGCAGCCAAGATGGCAGAGAAGGACCCTAAGCACACCTCCTCTCACGAGCTCACAAAAATCAGAACAATCTGCAGAACCATTGTTAAAAAGGACTGAAACTTAGCAAAAAAGATTCTCTACATCTAAATACATAAAGATGGAACCACAACGAGATGGGCACACTCATGATATAATCAAATCCCATACCCCCAGGTGTGCAACCCACAAACTAGAGAATAATTATATTGCACAAGTTCTCCCAAAGAAGTGAGAGTTCTGAGCTTGTCAGGCCCCACTCCCAGCCCAGGGGGCTGACATGGGGAAGAGGAGCCCCCAGAGCATTTGGCTTTGAAGGCCAGTGGGGCTTGATTGCAAGAGTTCCACAGGAATGGGGGAAATAGAGACTTCACTCTCAAAGTGCACACACAAAATCTCACATGCACTGGACCAAGGGCAAAAGCAGTAATCTGACAGAAGCCTGGGCCAGACCTACCTGCTGGTCTTGGAGGGTCTCCTGGGGAGGTGGCTGTGGCCCACCCTGGGGACACAGACTCTGGTGCCTGATATATCAGGGAGCATTCATCTGCATGTGTGAGCTCTTGTGGAGGCTGACATTTTGGCACAAAGACCTGGCCCCACCCATCCACAGGCTCAAGTGCTGAGGGGCACTGAGGCAAACAATACAATGGGCAGGGACACAGTCAAACCCATCAGCAGACAGGCTACCTAAAGACTTCCTGAGCTCACAGCCTCCTCTAGATATGGCCCTAGACACGGTCCTGTCCATCAGAGGACCAAGACCCAGTTCTACCCACCAGGGGACAGGCACCAGCCCCTCCCACCAAGAAGCCTGCACAAGCCTCTACACCAGGCTCACCTACCAGGGGACAGTCACTAGAAGCACGAAATCTACAGTTCCGCAGCCTGCAGACTGAGTCCACAAACACAGGCCAGACACTGCCCTGGGACCAGCTGGCCCCTGGTCCTTGAGGGATGAGAGGGGAGTGCACTGCTGGGACACAAATGACGTTTCCTACAGAGGGCCAGTTTTCCAAGGCGGAGGACCGAAACCAACCTACCACATACATAAAACACAAATAGCAATTTACATAAAATGAGGCAACAGAGGAATATGGTTCACACGAATAAACAAGATAAAACCCCAGAAGAACAACTAAGTCACGTGGAGATAGGCAATTCACCCAAGCAAGAGTTCAGAGTAATGATCATAAAGACGATCAAAGAACTTGGGAGGAGAACAGATGCACAGAGCAAGTAATCAGGAGTTTCCAAAAAAGAATTAGAAAATATAAGGAATATAAAGAACTAAAGAAAACAATAACTGATATGAAAAATACACTAGAAGGAATCTATAGTAGACTAAATGATTCAGAAGGATGGATCAGTGAGCTGGAAGACAGAGGTAGTGGAAATCACTGCCACTAAACAGAAAGAAGAAAAAAGAATGAAATGAAATGAGGACAGCTTAAGAAACCTCTGGGATAACATCAAGCACACTAATACTGGCATTTTATGGATCCCAGAAGGAGAGAGAAAGGGTGGTCTGGGAAAATAAATGAACAGATAATAGCTGGAAACTGCCCTAACCCGGGGAAGGAAATAGTCACCCAAGTACAGGAAGTGCAGAGAGTCCCATACAGGATTAACCCACAGAGGAATACACCACAATGCATTGTAAGCAAGATGACAAAAGTTAAATATAAAGAGAGATTATTAAAAGCAACAAGGGAAAAGCAACAAATAACACACAAGGGAACTCCGATAAGGCTATCAGCTGATTTTTCAGCAGAAACTACAGCCTAAAAGGGAGTGGCATGATATACTTAAAGTGATGAAACAGAAAAACCTACAACCAAGAATACTCTACCCAGCAAGGCTCTCATTCAGATTTCATGGAGAAATCAAAAGCTTTACACACAAGCAAGAGCTAAAAGAATTCAGCACCACCAAACCAGCTATACAGCACCTGCTAAAGGAACTTCATTAGGTGGAAATGAAAAGGGCACAACTAGAAACAAGCAAATTACAAAATGGAAAAGCTCATTGATAAAGGCAAACATACAATAAAGGTAGAAAATCATCCATGCACAAAGCTAGTAGGGAGGTTAAAAGACTAAAGTAGTAAAATCATTTGTAACCACGGTAAGCAGTTAAGCGATACACAAAACAATCTGACGTAAAATGTAAAATCAAAAACAGCAATAGTGAGCTTCCCTGGTGGCGCAGTGGTTGAGAGTCCGCCTGCCGATGCAGGGGTCACAGGTTCGTGCCCCAGTCTGGGAAGATCCCACATGCCGCGGAGCGGCTGGGCCCATGAGCCATGGCCGCTAAGCCTGCGCGTCCAGAGCCTGTGCTCCACAACGGGAGAGGCCACAACAGTGAGAGGCCCACGTACCGCAAAAAAAACTCCAAAAAAACCAAAAAACAGTAATAGTGAGGAAAGGAGACTACAAATGCAGTGTATCTAAAATGCATTAGAAATTAAGAGATGAGCAACTTGAAACAAGCATGTATAAATATAGACTCCTATACAAAAACCTCATGGTAACTGCAAAACAAAAAATCTATGATAGACAGACACAAAAAAGAAAAAGGAATCCAAACATACCACTAAAAATAGTCATCAAATCACAACACAGGAGAACAGGAGAAAAAAGGGCAAAAAAAGACCTACAAAAACAAATCCAAAGCAATTAACAAAATAGTAATAGGAACATACATATTGATAATTACCTTAAATGTAAACAGACCAAATGCTCCAACCAAAAGACACAGACTGACTGAATGGATACAAAAACAGGACCAGTATATTTGCTGCCTACAAGAGACACACTTCA